CTCTTCCTGTATTCTGTTGGTTTTTATCTCCCACAAGTCTGCACACTCACAAAAGAATGGATGACAGATATTATTCTATTTAGCAAGTACTTGACTGTGTGTGAATTGGTCATTTGACAGTCTTAAGTTTTGTATTTTCCAACATCTCCTCCAAAGAAGCTGGTAAATATTAGTACAAAGGTTCGGTCGTGTATTTATCATATTGTGTTACAAAAACAAGAAGCCTCGGGACCTTGTCTTCATGATTGAGATCTATTCTACATTTTTTCATTTCGTGGTGCACAGTTCTTTATTCGGTAAAGTCATAAATTTTACCCTACTCGATTATCACCAAAAAAGTCAATTTATTTATTTTGTCTTCTTTTTCACTATTTTCTTGGGTCAGGTAATTTGTGAGTAATTAACTGTCCGGTATTCTACCATGTTTTAAGAAATATGCTAGTGTCATTGGGGATTTACTTTTACGGGGTTGAGGTCCAGTTTTGGTTGGATGCCAATATCTATACCATACGTTGAACAAAAGAAGGCAGTCAGATTGACATGTCTCGCTAATGCTATGCTTAGCACAACCTACGTCTGGAAATGTTCACCAAAGAAATTGATATATGAGTGGGAAAAAAAATTATTAAAGGCACAAATTGGTTTTTACTTTTAAATCTTTAGTAAAAATTAGCTAAATGTAAAGAAAAAAAATATTATATAGAAAAAGGAAAAAAAAGAAAAATTTTATGTAAGCAAATGTTTCATGAAAACAATTCTAATTCCTAATGAATTCTTCTCTCATGCAAACAAAGGATTTGGAATTCCAAATAAATTCCGTATCAATTCTATGCATTTCCCAAACGAAAGAATTGGAATGACTTGGAATTCCAATTCATAGAATTTCAATTCTATAGAATTTCAATTCTAATTCTATAAAACCAAACGCACCCTTAGGGTTAATCACACTTTGAAATCCTTGTTTTGTCTTAATACCTTGTTAAAATTATAAGTTTCAATACTAATAGCTTTGGTCCCAACTCCCAAAGAATAAAAAGCAAATGAGTCTCTAAATGGATTAATCAATTTGGTAGGCAAAACCCTTTTATTTTGGCTGGGCAATTTATTCAAAGTTATATTATTTTTCCTTTTTGTTTAAGTGCACTTTTATTGAATTCTCTATATCAAAACAAGATAACAAATGAAATATCACCGAAATTTGATGATTATATTTATTTGCTATATTAAAAAGATGTTGATATGCTTTATCACGCTTAAAATAATTGCAATGTACCAAGATACGATATGCCTTTTATTGAGTAATGTACTTGATAAGAATAAGAAAAGATAGAAGATATTAGCACTTTTTTTTAAAAAAAAAAAATGTTTTAGACCCTCCCTCTTTCTTTTTATATTGTTTGAATTGAAAATTCTGGCCCCAACCTTATAAGACTATCCTTCAAGTAATTTCTTTTTCCTTTCTTGCACACTTTATGGTTTAGACAACTACACCCTTAATCAACCTAGCAACTAGCCAAGGCTGGACAACCCTTGCTATCACCTAAAAATGCTCAAACATCCTCTGATCCTCGCATAAGACTGAAATTCATGGTATAGAGTTATGAAATTATGGATTTCGTAAATTCAACAAAGGCATCTATTTTACAGGTAAACCCTCCTAAAAAGAACCAATTCAGGTACAACAATTTTATTAATCTCTCTTTAAATAATCCACCATAAACTCCTAAAAAGAACCACATCCAAGTTCAACAATTATATTAAACTCTCCCAAAGACAACACTGCAATTATATAAGAAATTAAACAAAAGTACAATTGAACAAATTAATTGAGCACTAAACTTTTGTAATAGAATGTAATGCACTTAGTCCTGCATGCTTTTTTTTTTTTTTTTTTTTAAAAGTACATACATTGACTCTGCAGCAAATATAGAGGGAAAAAAACACCACTTTCACTAAGGAGTTTCTAAATTTTAATAGTAGTGATAAACATATCAACCAAGAATGAAAGTGAATATTGTTTTGTGGTTTTTATTTTTTGGGTTTCTTTTGGGGGGGGGGGGGGAGGGGGTTAGTTTTGGCTGCTAGGATTAGGAAATTGGGTATAGGTTTGCACTAACGGAAGTGTTTGAGGTGGTTGTAGATATAAAGAAATAGAATTGCTGAAGTTAGGGATAGAAAGAAAGACATATTATTTTGTGACTGACACTAGATGAGGGGAATATTTGTCGATTTTAGTAATATAAAAGAAAATTAGAGTGCTGAGGTTTTACTTGGAGTGTTATTATCATTTGACTAATAAAATTGCCTTAAAATATTCACAAATTCAGTCCAAACTGAAATTAGTATTATTTTTTGTCATTCATCGAGATAATTGGTTATATTTAAAACAAGCTCGTTTATTCTATGTTTAAGTATAACTTTTATTAAAGTACATTAGAACTAGGGTGATTAACTCCTTTTATAATGCTAAATAACAATTTACACTTGTTTGGATTGTGAGTTTTTGTAGAGAAATTTTTACGTTTTTCATGAATATATTTTTTAATCACATTTTTATCTTACATACATCAAATTACTACGATATATTTTTCACTAAAAATAGCAATCCAAATAGGTATTTTTGACAATAATTGAAGAACAACAGTGTCATTGTACTAGTAGTTGGGTAGATCAACTTTTCTAAACATTTGACCAGCTTTCGTGGGCAGTAAAGTGCATATCTTCAAGATTCACGGTAATAAAGTGTGATTTCTCCAAAAATTCAGGGCTAAACTGCTATTTGCACACTAACTTTTATAACTAGTATTATTTTCGGTAACAAACTTTTATTGCTACTTGAATTGATGAAAGTCAAATTACCAAAAGGGAAAATTGTTTAAAACATTCCTCATATTTTATAAAATAATTTTTTTCATCTCTCACTTTTAAATGTGTAATTTTACATCCCTTACAAATTCATATTGATCAATTTTGGTTCCTATTTAGGTCTCTGACTAGTTTTTTATTGGAATCTACTACATGTCTTGTACGTTATCATTTTTTAAGGGTAAAGTTGTCAAATTTAATTTTACATAATTCGATTTATAGTCCATCACATTTTATAAAATGAATTTTTTTCGTCCCTCACATTTTATAAAATAAATTTATTTCATCCTTCACTTTTTTCAAAATAGATTTTTTTCATCTCTCATTGATCATGTGTGCGAATAGTTTTTTTTTTTAAACCTATGTATATATCTATTTGATTTCACTTGAATAGTACAAAGTAGCATGTAATACATCTCTATTTGATTTCGTTAGGCGAAATCAAATAGAGATGTATTACATGCTACTTTGTACTATTCAGGTGAAATCAAAATAGATATATACATGAGTTTAAAAAAAAATTGTTAGTTTTTTTACTCATATTCATTTCCTTTTACTTCAAAATTGAAAACAAAGAAAACATTTAATCTTAAACATTATCGAGTGTTTATATTGAATTAAATTTGGATAGAAAAAATAAACAAATGAAAAGTATGACAAAAAGAAGTAAGTGATTGGTATTTTTAAATTTTAAGACAATTACAAACAAGTAATTAACTGTTAGTCTTAAAAGTGGCAAGTGAAAATTTCAGATATGATCGATTAATTAGATGGTCTTATTACACAACTCAATAAATAAATGATTATCAAAAGAGAAAGACAACAAATATTGAATAGGTTTACATAGTGAAATCATATAGATATATACATGATTTTAAAACAAAATTGTTAGTTTTAAACCCCTGTACATATGTATTGAATAAAATATGCACAACTAAGATTAGACAGTTTAGGTGAAATTAAATAGAGATATATTACATATTATTCATATTATTTGGGTGAAACCAAATAGATATATACATTGGTTTAAAAAAAAATCATTCATGCACATGATCAATAAGAGATGAAAAAATTCATTTTGAAAAATGTGAGAGATGAAAAAATTCATTTTATGAAATGTGAGAGACAAAACAATTCATTTTGGTAAAATGTCAGAAATGAAAAAATTTATTTTGTGAAATGTTAAGGACTTTAAATTGAATTATGTAAAATTTGATTTGATAATTTTGCCCTAAAAAAATGATTGCGTGCAAGGCACATGATGGATTCCGACAAAAAAATTTGTCAAAAACTTATGTACGGATCAAATTTAATTAATGTGATTTGTAAGGGATGTAAAAATACACACTTTTAAAAGTAAAGGACGAAAAAATCATTTTACAAATATATGAGAAATGTTTTGAACGATTTTCCCTTACCAAAACCATATTGAGTTACTATGGATATGCTTCTTTTTCTTCACTTATTGATTATTGAGGTAATTTCACAAACCTCTTTTGAGGTTTGCCTTAATATCATTTAATATTCTTGTAATTTCAAAAATCTCTCTTACCTCCCCTTAATTGACATGTTTTTTAACATTTCATAGATGAGAAGAGATAATAATTTACTTTGATTTGTACCATTTTGTTATTCTTTATATAAATATTAGAGTAGCAATTAAGATTAAAATAAACCTAATAGGCAAAAGGCAAATTGGAAGAGATGTAAGTGCGATAAAGAGAAGTTGCAGCAGATAAGTAATTTTATAATTTTGCGATGATTAATACTCCAAATCTAAGATTATCCAGACAAAATAAGAAACATGAGTTCAATGACAAAAGAAGTAACTTAGAGAGAAAATTAGTAAAAGATATTGTAGCAAATCATAACAAGTTCTAATATTAAAAGGTACTCTTATAATTCATCAGCTCATTTAAGGGATTACAGCAAGGAGGCAACAATCATCAGGATTTCAAAAGCGAAAGAAATCTAAATAAGCCACATTTGCTTCTAATGCCCATATGATGTGCTTCTAATATGCTTGGTAATAGCAGTCTCAAAAGTTCCCTACATTTTATTGCTACAGAATAGTAAAAAAAAAGTCATATAGTTTTGTCAATTTGTTACCCATGCTAGAAATCTTGTCAAAACAAACGAGTCACAAATGAAGAAGAGACCTATCAGTCTCCTCTCTCCGCTCCTCATGAATTTTTGTAGCTGAACTCCGACGGGAAGACCATCAAGAAGATGAAGAAAAGGCCTTTCTCAGTCGTCTGTGATGCTCATCTCCGCCACAAATCAGAGGCAGGAGGTACTGCTACTCTTTCATTTCTTTCTCCGAGAAACTCCACCCTTATTCAAAACCCACAATCAGCTTCTAGTTCTGCTGCTTCTCATGCCTATAGTACTGGTAGTACAATTAGTAATCATCACCTTAAATCTGACAGTATTGTTCATTATGGGTCTCGGGGATTGAGGAGTAATATCGATAGTATCAGCAATCTTGGTGAAGCTCTGGGCTTTTACAAGCAGATGGTCCGGATGAGACCTGTGCCTAGCGTTGTTCATTTCACTCAATTGCTGGGTCGTATTGTTAAGATGAAGCAATATTTGGTGGTTCTTTCTCTTTACAGAGATATGGCTGAGTTAGGATGCATTCCGCTTAATGAATACACGCTTAATATTGTGATTAACTGTTACTGCTTCTTGGGTAAAGTGAATTTTGGGTTTTCTATATTTGGTAGCTTCTTCAAGCGAGGTATTTTGCCCGATACGGCCACCTTTAATACTCTGCTCAAAGGACTCTTTTGGGAACACAAAATTCATGAGGCACAAGGATTGTTCAAGAAAATAATATATGAAAAGCTATGCATGCCTAATGAAATTATGTATGGGACCGTCATAGACGGGCTTTCTAAGGCTGGGAACACTAGCATGGCCATTCAAGTCCTTAGATTCATGGAAAAAGGAGGAAGGTGCGGGCCTGATACAGCTGCTTACAACACTATTATCGACGGGTTGTGCAAGGATAAAATGATGGATCAAGCTCTCTCCCTTCTGCATGAGATGATTGAGAAAGGAATTGCCCCGGATGTCATCACTTACAATTGTTTGGTCCGGGGTCTGTGCAATTTAAGTAAATGGAAGGACGTTGAAAAGCTCTTGACTGAGATGAAGGCTTATAGTATTGCTCCTGATGTTATTACTTTTAATATTCTTATTGATGCACTGTGTAAGGAAGGACAGTTAGAAGGTGCAGAGGAGGTACTGAAATTCATGATTGAGCAAAATCGGAAGCCTGATAGTGTTACATATAATGCATTGATGGATGGGTACTGTTTACAGGGCCGAATGGACGAAGCAAAGATAGTTTTTGATAAAATGGCTGCTGACGGCCTTAGTCCTGATGTTCAAAGCCATAATATATTGATCCACGGCTATATGAAGAAAATGAAAGTGGAAGCAGCCATGAGTCTCTTCCGAGAGATCCGACATAAAGGGTTAACACCGAATGTTGTTACCTATACCACTGTCCTGCAGGGTTTATTTAGTGCCGGGAGGTATCTTACAGCAATTGAAGTTTTCAACGAGATGGAAGCTGCTGGCTTAAAACCTGATTTTCACACTTACTGTGTGTTGTTGAATGGTTTATGCAAGAATTCACATGCTGAGGAAGCACTTCAATTTTTGCACAAGATGGAAGTTGATGGAGTAGATTGTCAGATACCCATGTACAACACCGTCCTTGATGGATTATGCAAATGTGGGAAGCTTGACAGTGCCCGACATCTTTTCTATAGTCTCTTCTCTAAAGGATTGGATCCTAATGTTATAACGTATAGCACGATGATAAATAGCCTCTTTTCAGAAGGATTACTACAGGAAGCCAAAGAGTTTATTAAGAAAATGGAAGAAAATGGTTGCACTCCTGATCGAATTACATTTAATATTATTGTTCAAGGACTTCTTAAGGCTGGCGAATTTAATGATGCAGTGGTATGTTTTGATGAAATGGATAGGAAAGGATTCTTGCTGCATTTGTCTACTTTTTCATTTTTACTAGATTCATACAGAGATAGTGGAAACGATCCCTCTCTTTTTAAGGTGATAGAGAAGTTTGCACCAAAGATGTGTAATGGAAGTCTAAATATTGGAAAAGGGGGATCTTATACTTAATTGGCTTCATTTGGGGCCTCTGGATATTCCGCTGCTTTTTTTGGCTCCTAGCATTTAATCATCCAAAGGTATATGATGGAGATTCGCAGTTGATATTGTTAGTAGCATATATCCTTTTGGTCTCAAAAAGTTTATCAACAGTCCTTGGAGGAGCAGTCTTTGAGCATATTCTAGAGATTTGAAGATTAAATACTTGCATGGTGGTAAGCGACAATGTGTTAGAAGCTCTCTCATGACTACAGACGCCTGCCTGTTTTCAATGCATTTCATGGTTTGTACTCTGTGATCACGCCTCTCTCATCACTTTCTCAAAATTTTATGCCTAATTGTCTCGATGGCTCACATTGTCTGTATTGAGTCACTCTTATGTATGCTTACTTTATACATGATAGCTTGTCCATGTAATTGTCATGTCGGGTTACTAAATTGCAGCTTAATTTATCTTCTTATACAGACATTGTTCGCATGGCAGTTGCAAAATTATCAAATTAAGTGAGAAAAAAAACCGGGGTTGTGAATGAAAGTCATTGTACTGTAGAATTCACTTTCTCCAACTAAACTTGACTGCCACTTTTTCGAGTCTTCTTTGTTTGAGTGCGTGTTCTAATTCTTCCCATATACATCCCTGCCCTCCCCTTAGACATGAAATTAGCTCACAAGTCCCTGAAGTTACGGATTGAAGATCAGAGAAAGTGTAACTAGCATTAACACCCAGAAGTTTTTACCTCCTGTGATAATCGGAAATTGCATTCTGTGAATTTTAGAGGTTACAAAGTATTTTTTGGTTGATTTTGGTGCCTAAAGTTTGCAAGTGACGAGCACAATTAATGTCCTAAATAAAATCAGTTTTGTATTAGGGCCATTAACTTCTGATTTTTTGTCACACATTTATTAACCATTTACACGTCATGAACTACTGATACACCTTTTGGAAGGCAAAGGATGCCCTCCAGCCAAAGACTGAAGGGCAGCCGTGGCATAGCAGCTCTCTATCTGCTTGTTCTGGTTGAAGAGCAGCTATGGTTAAACTATTAAACTTGAATTCCCTTGTATCTTCTTTACCTGAGGGTTTTTCCCCCCGGGAATTTTTCTGAGCTACATGCACATTGCAGGCACATTTCTGAACTTTCTGCTCCCTTTCTCTAGAATGAGGTGATAAGCATGCTGGAATATTTAGATTTTGTCATGTGTAGTTATCTGTGAGTGGAGAAGATAGAAGTAAGTTTGACTTTGTTGTTACCTACAGCATCTTCTATTCTATTATGGACGAAAAATACTTCTCTTTCCCTTTCTGAATTTTGTGAGAGAAGATAGAAGAGCTTACTTTGTTGTTAGCATAATCAGAAGCCATTGGATGCAGAGGGGGCTGCTTTTGTTGCTCAAAGTTCTGGCCTACATCATCTTCTATTCTTTCATTATGCCAAAAACGCTTCTCTAATATACTGGACATGCTCAGTGGAGCAGCATCAAGATGTTGAGTTTATCGCCCATACCATATAGTAATTGCATTGTTTATCTTAAATATTATTGTCCAAGGACTTATCAAGGCTAGTGAATTTGATGATTCAGCGGTTTATTTTGAAGAAATGGATTTAGGGAGGATTCTCACTGCAAGTATCTACTTTTGCCTTTTTACTAGATTCGTTCAGAGATAGTGGAAATGATCCATTCCTTCTTAAGATAGTTGCGAAGTTTGCTCCAAAAATGTGCAATAACAGTCTAAATGTTGGAGAAGGGGGATCTTATACTTAATTGGCTCCATTTAGGATCTCTGGATATTTCACTCTTTTCTTTTGCCCCTTTTTTATTTGATTTTGCTCTTTAGATGCTCTTCTCCGTCCTTTTTAAAGACATCTTAGGTATCCAGCCATACAAAGTTGTTGAGTTTTTACTTGATATAGATTCAGATAGTCAATGTAGTATATTCGACTTGAAATATTTAAACATGGTGAACATTCTAACTTCAATAAGAGGGCAGTGTAAATGTCTCTAAATCACAGGTCCAAGCAGAAATTTTTACTATTATCAGTTCGACTTGTTTTAACAGTCTCTGCTTTTTCCTATTTTGCGGTTGGTTCTTTAAAATAACTCTTTCAACGCTTATGTTCTGCTTTAGTTCTTTAAGTTTGTCTCTTAATCACATGCACTGCAGAAGCAAGTTTCGGTATGCTAAGATTGAACTCAAACGATAAATATTTGACTCTATCACTGATGATGACAGTATTGCTACGTGTGGATGCAGATGGAAGGGTGCAATTTTTGTAACCTTAGTGAGTGGTGAATTAATTAATTAAAGTTGGCGCTGAAGTATGCTATCATCACAGATCTGGATTGGCCATGAAATTTGACCCCCAAAAAAAAAAATGCAGAAGTGTGGTCTGAGCATCTAAACTTTCAAAGCATTCTTCTGTGCCTGTGTCTTTCTGCAACCACTCATTTCTTGGTGTCTGTTTCTTTTAGGTTTTCTTCATGTGTTCTGAGTGTAAGTTTGACAGCCTGATGCTAGTCGAGTTCTGTTTACATTTGGTAAGAAATGGAATGACTTTGTAGCCTATGAAAAAAGAAGATGGAACCTGATGAATGCTATTTCATTACAGGGATACATTAATTCAAGAATGGGACAAACAGAAATGTCAGAACAGGCACGTCATAGGATGAAAGCACATAGGATTAGAGCAAAGCAAAAGCTAGTTGAACACACTTGATATTTATGAAATGCTACTGAATCTGTGATGTAGTAGCATTTTTCTTTTCCTTCTCTTTGTACACCTAATTTACACTAAATTTATTATATGAATTCACACACTCACATTTATCACACTCGTGTACTTGGGCACTTTAACAAATCAATAACAATCCTGCCAAAAAAATTAACACCTGAGAGCTCTTGACTGATGCCAATTGGGCAACCATTAGTGGAACCTGTAGTTATGAAGGGTAACATTGTAATTTACCATAATGCAAATAAAATATGTTTTACTGAAAAATGTTTTTGACAAAAGTTTCATATAATTCTTGAAAATAAAATTTATGTTGTTTCACAATAAATTCAAAATTCTCTCAATATTTATTTTTGTATTTTATGTTTTCAATAGGGATTTAGTAAGTTCTATTGTTAATTTTTTCCATAATGCATTACAAATATCCTTGTTTTGTCTTAATACCTTGTTAAAAATATAAAGAATAAATACTAATGTCTTTAGTCCCAAAGAATAAAAAGCAAATCAGTCTCTAAAGTGGATTAGTCAATTTGGTATGCAGAAACCCTTTTTTTGGTTGAGCAATGTTTTCAAAGTTTTATTATTTTTCCTTTTTGTTTAAGTGCACTTTTATTGAATTCTCTATATCAAAACAAGATAACAAATGAAATATCACCAAAAATTGATGATTATATTTATTTGCTATATTAAAAAGATGTTGATATGCTTATTCACACTTAAAATACCTGCTGTGTACCAAGATCAGATATGCCTTTTATAGAGTAATGTACTTGATAAGACCAAAAACAAGGTAGAAGATATTAGCACTTCAAAAAAAGTTTTAGACCCTCCATCTTTCTTTTATATTGTTTGAATTAAAAATTTTGCTCCTACTCCTACGGGGTGGGGGGGGGGGGAATCTACTCCATGGGAAGACCCAATTGAGCCGGGGAAAGCTGACGGGGATAGAACTACCATCAGATCAGACGAATGCATCACACACCAATATGAATTTAGAATAAATCTCATATTGAGGCACATTGATGGGAGGCAAGGTTTGAATCCTTGACCTCCCACCCTACAATTAATGTAATGACCAATTCCTCTGGAGGGAGTTGGTTTTTTCTTTCAGCTCAAAATGCTCAAAACATCCTATGATACTCGTATAAGATTGAAATTCATGATATAGCGCTATGAAATTGAGGATTCTATGAATTCAATAAAGGCATCTATTTTACACGTAAACCATCCTAAGGTTCAACAATTTTATTAATTTCCCTTTAAATAATTCACCATAAACTTGAGTTTCAACAATTCCTTTAAATAATTCACCATAAACTTGAGGTTCAACAATTATATTAATCTCTCCTAAAGACAATACTGCAATTATGCAAGAAATTAAACAAGAGTCAAATTGAACAAATTAATTAAGCACTAAACTTTTGCAATAGAATATTATACGCTTAGTCTTACATACATTGACTCTGCAGCAAACGTAGAGAAAAAACAGCACCTTCATAGGGATTTTCTAAATTTTAATAGTAGTGGTGATAAACAAATCAACCAAGGATGAAAGTGAATATTGTTTTGTAGGCTGGGATTTGGAGGGAGGAAGGAGTTTTGGCTACTAGGATTAGGAAATTGGGTATAGGTTTGCACTAATGGAAGTGATTGAGGTGTTCGGTAGATATGAAAGAAATAGAACTAGTGAGAATTTAGAGATGAAAAAAAAGACATTGTTGTGTGACTAATACTAAATGAGGGGCATATTTGTCGATTTCAGTAATATAAAAGAAAATTAGAGTACTGCTGTTTTACCTGGAATGTTATTATCATTTGACTAATAAAAATTGCCTTAAAAAATTAGCAAATTCAGTCCAAACTGAAATTATTATTTTTATTTTTTTGTCATTCATCGAGATAATTGGTTATATTAAAAAAAAAAAGCATGTTTTTTCTATGTTTAAGTATGACTTTTATTAAAGTACATTAGAACTAGTGATTAACTGCTTTTATAATGCTAAATAACAATTTACACTTGTTTGGATTGTGATTTTTTTGCAGAAATTTTTTTTCATTTTTCGTGAAAATATTTTCCAATCACTATTTTATCTCACATACTTCAAATTGTTATATTACATTTTTCATCAAAACTCCTAAAAATTAGCAATCCAAGTAGGTATTTTCGACAATAATTGAAGAACAACAATGTCATTGTACTAGTAGTTTGGTTAGAGCAACTTTTCTACACATTTTCGTGGGCGGTAAACTGCATATCTTCAAGATTCATGGTAATAAAGTGTGATTTCTCCAAATATTCAGGGGTAAACTGCAATTTGCACACTAACCTTTATAACTAGTACTGTTTTCGGTAACAAACTTTTACTGCTACTTGAATTAATGAAGGGCTAATTACCAAAACCATGACAGGGACATGCTTCTTTTGCTTCACTTGTTGATTATTGGGATAATTTCACAAACTTCATTGGAGGTTTGCCTTAATATCATTTAATATTCTTGTGATTTCAAAAACCTCTCTTAGCTCCCTTTGATTGACATGTTTTGTAATATTGTCACCTCTTACGTATAAAAAAATTCATAGATGAGGAGAAATAATAATTTATATCTGTTTGTACCCTTTTGTTATTCTTTATATAAATATTAGAGCAGCAATTAAGACTAAAATAAACCTAATAGGCAAAAGGCAAATTGGAGCAGATGTATGTACAATAAAGAGAAGTTGCAGCAGATAATTACTTTTACAATTTTGCGCTAATTAATACTCCAAATCTAGGATTGTCAAGACAAAATAAGAAACACAAGTTCAATGACAAAATGAGCAATTTAAAGAGGAAATTAATAAAAGATATTGTAGTAAATTAGAACAAGTTATAATATTAAAAGATACTTTTATAATTCACCAACTCATTTAATATAAAGAATTGATATTATTGATTACAGCGAGAAGGCCACAGTCATCAGGATTTCAAAAGCCAAAGAAATCCGAATAAGCCACATTTGCTTCTAATGCCAATTTGATATGCTGCCTATGATAGAAATCTCGTCACAAACGATAGAATCTTTGTAGCTGAACTCGGACGGGAAGACCATCAAGAAGATGAAGAAAAGGCCTTTCTCAGTCGTCTGTGATGCTCATCTCCGCCGCAAATCAGGGGCAGGAGGTACTGCTACTCTTTCATTTCTTTCTCCAACAAACTCCACCCTTATTCAAAACGCACAATCAGCTTCTAGTTCTGCTGCTTCTCATGCCTATAGTACTGGTAGTACAATTAGTAATCATCACCCTAAATCTGACAGTAGTGTTCGTTCCGGGTCTCGGGGATTGAGGAGTAATATCGATAGTATCAGCAATCTTGATGAAGCTCTGGGCTTTTACAAGCAGATGGCTCGGATGAGACCTCTGCCTAGTGTTGCTCATTTCAATAGACTGCTGGGTCGTATTGTTAAGATGAAGCAATATTTGGTGGTTCTTTCTCTTTACAGAGATGAGGCTGAGTTGGGATGCATTCCGCTTGATGAATACGCGCTTAATATTGTGATTAACTGTTATTGCTTCTTGGGTAAAGTGCATTTTGGGTTTTCTATATTTGGTGGCTTCTTCAAGCGAGGTATTTTGCCCAATACGGCCACCTTTAATACTCTGCTTAAAGGACTCTTTTGGGAACACAAAATTCATGAGGCACAAGGATTGTTCAAGAAAATAATATATGAAAAGCTATGCGTACCCAATAAAATTACGTATGGGACTGTGATAGATGGGCTTTCTAAGGCTGGGAACACTAGCATGGCCATTCAAGTCCTTAGATTCATGGAAAAAGGAGGACGGTGCAGGCCTGATACAGTTGCTTACAGCACTATTATCGACGGGTTGTGCAAGGATAAAATGATGGATCAAGCTCTCTCCCTGTTACACGAGATGATTGAGAAAGGAATTGCCCCCGATGTCATCACTTACAATTGTTTGGTCCGGGGCCTGTGCAATTTAAGCAAATGGAAGGACGTTGAAAAGCTCTTGACTGAGATGAAGGCTTATAATATTGTTCCAAATGTTATTACTTTTAGTATTCTTATTGATGCACTATGTAAGGAAGGACAGTTAGAAGGTGCAGAGGAGGTACTGAAAATCATGATTGAGCAAAATCAGAAGCCTGATAATGCTACATATAGCGCGTTGATGGATGGGTACTGTTTACAAGGCCGAATGGATGAAGCAAAGATAGTTTTTGATAAAATGGCTGCTAGCGGCCTTAATCCTGATGTTCAAAGCCATAGTATATTGATCAATGGTTATATGAAGAAAATGAAAGTGGAAGCAGCCATGAGTCTCTTCCAAGAGATCCGACATAAAGGGTTAACACCGAATGTTGCAACTTATAACACTGTCCTGCAGGGTTTATTTAGTGTGCGGAGGTATCTTACAGCAGTTGAAGCTTTCGACGAGATGCGAGCTGCTGGCATAAAGCCTGATTTTTACACTTACTGTGTGTTGTTAAATGGTTTATGCAAGAACTCACATGTTGAGGAAGCACTTCAATTTTTGCACAAGATGGAAGTTGATGGAGTAGATTGTCATATAACAATGTACAACATCGTCCTTGATGGATTATGCAAATGTGGGAAGCTTGACAGCGCCCGGCATCTTTTCTATGGTCTCTCTTCTAAAGGATTGGATCCTAATGTTTCAACATATAGCACGATGATAAATGGCCTCTTTTCAGAAGGTTTCCTACAGGAAGCCAAAGAGTTTATTAAGAAAATGGAAGAAAATGGCTGCACTCCAAATCTAATTACATTTAATATTATTGTTCAAGGACTTCTTAAGGCTGGTGAATTTAATGATGCAGTGGTTTATTTTGATGAAATGGATAGGAGAGGATTCTGGCTGTATTTGTCTACTTTTTCACTTTTACTTGATTCATACAGAGATAGTGGAAATGATCCCTCTATTTTTAAGATAATTGAGAAGTTTGCTCAAAAAATGGGTAATGGAAGTCTAAATACTGGAGAAGGGGGATCTTATCCTTAATTGGCTTCATTTGGGACCTTTGGATATTCTGCTGCTTTTTTTGGCTCCTTGCATTTAATCATCCAAAGGTACATGATGTAGATTCGCAGCTGACATTGTTGTCAGTATCTGTCCTTTTGGTTTCAAAAAGTTTATCAACAGTCCTTGGTGGAGCAATCTTTGAGCATATTCTAGAGATTTGAAGATTTAATGCTTGCATGGTGGTAAGCGACAATGTGTTAGAAGCTCTCTCATGAGTATCAGACGAAAGAGTGTCTGCTTGCCCGTTTTCAATGCATTTCATGGTTTGTACACTTTAATCATCCAAAGGTATATGATGGAGATTCGCAGTTGATATTGTTAGTAGCATATATCCTTTTGGTCTCAAAAAAGTTTATCAACAGTCCTTGGAGGAGCAATCTTTGAGCATATTCTAGAGATTTGAAGATTAAATACTTGCATGGTGGTAAGCGACAATGTGTTAGAAGCTCTCTCATGACTATCAGACGCCTGCCCGTTTTGAATGCATTTCATGGTTTGTACTCTGTGATCACGCCTCTCTCATCACTTTCTCAAAATTTTATGCCTAATTGTCTCGATGGTTCACATTGTCTGTTTGAGTCACTCTTATGTATGCTTACTTGATACATGATAGCTTGTCCATGTAATTGTCATGTCGGGTTACTAAATTGCAGCTTAATTGTTCTTATACAGACATTGTTCGCATGGCAGTTGCAAAATAATCAATTAAGTGACCAAAAAAAAACAGGAGTTGTGGATGAAAGTCATTGTACTGTAGAATTCACTTTCTCCAAATAAACTTGACTGCAATTTTTTCGAGTCTTCCTTGTTTGAGTGCGTGTTCTAATTCTTCCCATATACATCCCTGCCCTTTCCTTAGACATGAAATTAGCTCACAAGTCCCGGAATTTACGGATTAAAGATCAGAGAAAGTGTAACTAGCATTAACGCCCAGAAGTTTTTACCTCCTGTGATAATCGGAAATTGCATTCTGTAAATTTTAGAGGTTACAAAGGGTATGTTTGGTTTTCCATGGAATTGGGATTTAGAATTGGAATTGAAGCCCCAATTCTAAATCTTGTGTTTGGGTACTACCTTTCCGATAGAATTAGAATTGAATTGCAATTCTATATTGATCGAATTCCACGGTTTCAATTCTTTGACTAGACCAAAGAATTCCAATTCCAATTCTACGGCCAGACTCCCATTCGGATCAACGCGCGGACTTTAAATGGATAAAAACTCCAAAACGGGTCAACTATAAAGCTGGATTAAAAGAAAACAAAGCTGGCTTCTTTCTCTCTCTTCATGAGCGGATCGCCATATCTACCCTAATCTGCTCTAGCGTTCTTTCCCGACGCTGCCTCCTCCTTTTCCTAACACCTCTCCCAGAACCCCTCCAGGCCTTTCCTACTCCTTCTCTCCTCTGCAGCATCGAGTGGGTGAAATTTACAGATTGAGTTATATTTTGGTCTCCTTTCTTTCGTTTCCTATCTATCTTGAATTGTGCCTCCCACCTTTACCTTTGCCATTACTTCCATTGCTGTCACCATCGCCATCGCATCCTCTCATCCTCACTCTCCTTCCACTCCTTCAATTCTCAATTCTCGACAAATTCAGGATTTATGATGGTATATTCACATTTAAATTTCTGCCAATCAAAGATTGATTATTTTGGGTTGTTCCTCTGATAATGTTTGCCATTAATGTTATAAATTTACTACTATTTTTTTGCTTCTAATTCAACGTTGGGACGAGGATAGAAAAAAAAGTAGTACTCTGTTTCCCTGTTCTTTTTTATTTCATTTTAATTAGTTAGTGTGGTCCCTAGTTTTTAGATGGTTCTCTTTTTATTAGGAATAATTAAAAATGTTTGTGGTGATGAAGATGAAAGGTTGAATATGTATATATCATCCTTTGAAAAGGTTTTGAAGGTTTTGAGATGCATTTTCTGGTAATAATAGCTACAACTTTCTGGCTATTTCAAGTATGCATTTTCTTATATAATTTTCTTTAATGTTTGTTACCAATTGCTGGTGAAGTAGTTGTGAAATATTTTATTAGATGCTGATGCGGGTTCATCTCCATGTGTTTTTGAAATTAGCATGAAAAATGGGAAAAGGGGTTTTTTTATTTTTCTATATTCTTTGCTTGTTGATCATTGCGGATCGGAAAAATTGAGGAATTTACTTGTTAGGGAAACTTTTTGTATTTTTAGTATGAAAATGAATAATATTTGTATATTGCAGGAGTGGAAAAAACAAACTAATAACAGAAAAGATCAAGAAAACTTGGTGGAATTGGACAGATTTTCAACTGAATGGAACTACTAAATTGCTAAGCTTGCTTAGCTCCTATTATTTATGATGGTCGAGTGAGATATTATGTTCTGCCATGTCTGCTGGTCTTGGTTTTGTTATTACGCTTTGATTGGTACAATGGAATTACACTTGCATTTTTTAGGAACATTGTCTTCTGATGACTACTAGTTGTAGTTGTGTAAGTAGCATGCCAGTCAATAGCCACTGTTTCTACTTAAGACTGCTTAACTTTCTTATCACCAATGTGTTGCCATTCAGTAATGTGAAAATGTAACTTTAAATGAAGAATATGTGCACAATTTTACTACTGTAGGGGACAAATTTACCTTCCATTCTTGATTTTGGCTTGGAATGTTCACTTTCTTCATTTTACAGATTGTTGATGTTTATTTTCTGGATTTATAAGTTTTAATTTTCTTTTGCTAAGTTCTGAATTATGATGACCAGTTTATTTCTTTTATCAGTTATTAAGCTAGTAGATCAATTTAGCCTAAAAATAATAGTAATAAAGAAGCTAGCAAATCATTTGTTGGATACAGAAAAGAATGCCCGAGAAGTATGAGTCTTGTCTTCATTTGCATTCCATATTCAATTTGTCTAAACATGTGATTATCCCACAAAGTTATTTCTTCTTTTGCTGGCTAAGAATGTCCATTCTGCTTGTAAACATGTGATTGTTGACTTTTACATTTTTGCTGGACTGATCATGACCTATACTTTCTTTAGGTGGATTGTGAGGTAATTTGCTTTCATCATTTGAATCTTGCTTTCAGGTCTTTCAGTTTGCGACTTAAAGGTGCAAAACATGTTGTATATGGCTTGATGTTTGTTTGGTGTCGATAGACAACTAGACCCTTAAATATGGCAGCAAGTTGTGAGAATATATGATCTTGAGCATTCTTGCAAAAGGTCGAAGAAGCTCTCTTGTAGGGACTGGAGCAACTTCACTTGTACAACCATGAACCATGTGATTAATATCAGATTATTTCACTGGATTTACATATGGGTTTATGCATGCATAATATCTGTTTATGCATGTGGATTTGTGTACGTTTGGCTGCACACCTCTCTACTGATAATTTTCTCTTTAAAAATCAATGAATTGCACAAGATGAGATATTTATGGTTTGTTGGTAACAAGTGATGCAGGTTTTTGTTCAAAACTGTTCTTGAAGTTTTGGGTCAAACGTATCTGCATCCGTAGTAGTTTGCAGGTGGCTGCTGAGCGTGTCCTTGTTCTGAATACTGTGAGATCCAAGCTGCCTGTCGCATTTACTACTACGGATGATGCCAAAGATTCTGTAAAGGAGGAAATTCGCTTGAGGTGAAAACTTTCTGAAAATTTTTGACCATGGGCTTATGTTTTGCTTATCTCTGAAGATTGCTGTTAGAGAAGAGAGTCCAGGACAAAGTGGCAGCGCGTCACCTTTCAATACTAGTGGAATGAAACATCCCAAAACTGGGTTTATACAGTTGAAGCATTTGATCAAGAGTTTTTGTTACATATGAAGGATTTATTTGTAACTGATTGTTTTCTTATCTTTTTCTTTCATGAAATTTTGCTTCTTGATTTTGTAGTTATTGTCACATGAGTGAAAAATTGCTTCAAACTTTTCCTCTCTCATAGTTTTATCATGCCATTGGTACTTAATGGAGGAGTTTGAGTTTTAGTTGTGCATAGCTATTATGATGGATGAAATCTTTTTTGAATTTTGCATAAGTATTAGAAATAAGAAAGAATTTTGCTTTATTAAATATATATCAAAACACAGTTGAAAATACCACGGCTGAGATGGGGAAATATTTCTTCACAAAAAGGGATAATGGATCAAAACATGCTAAAGGAAATGCTCACCAAAGAAATTGATATGAGAGTGAGAAAAAATAAATTATTAAAGGCACAAATTGATTTTTTCTTTTAAATCTTTAGTAAAAATTAGCTAAATGTTAGAAAAAAAGAAATTATTATATAGAAAAAAAAAAAAGAAAAATTTTATGTAAGCAATTTTCTTGAAAACAATTCTAATTCCTAATGAATTCTTCTCTCATGCAAACAAAGAATTTGGAATTTCAAATAAATTCCGTATCAATTCTATGCATTTCCCAAACGAAAGAATTGAAATGACTTGGAATTCCAATTCATAGAATTCCAATTTTATAGAATTTTGATTCTAATTCAATTCTAATTCTATAGAACCAAACGTACCCAAAGTATTTTTGGGTTGATTTTGGTGCCCAAAGTTTGCAAGCGACGAGCACAATTAAGGTCCAAAATAACATCAGTTTTGTATTAGGGCCATTAACTTCTGAGTTTTTGTCACACATTTATTAACCATTTACAAGTCATGAACTAGTGATACAGCCTTTGGAAGGCAAAGGATGCCCTCCAGCCAAAGACCGAAGGGCATAGCAGCTCTCAGTCCGCTTGTTCTGGTTGAAGAGCAGCTATGGTTAAACTATTAAACTTCAATTCCCTTGTATCTTCTTTACCTGAGGGTTTTTCCCCACGGGGATTTTTCTGAGCTACTAATACACATTGCAGGCACACTTCTGGGCTTTCTGCTCCCTTTCTCTAGAATGAGGTGACAAGCACGCTGGAATATTTAGATTTCGTCATGTGTAGTTATCTGTGAGTGGGGAAGATAGAAGTTTGACTTAGTTGTTACCTACAGCATCTTCTATTCTGTTATAGATGAAAAATGCTTCTCTTTGCCATTCTGAATTTTGTGAGAGAAGATAGATGATGCTTACTTAGTTGTTAGCATAATCAGAAGCCATTAGATGCAGAGGGGGCTGCTTGAATAATGTACCAATATACGATATGCCTTCTATTGAATAATGTACTTGATTAGAATAAGAACAAGATAGAAGATATTATCACTTTAAAAAAAAAAAAAAAAAAAAGTTTTAGACCCTACCTCTCTCTTTTTATATTATTTGAATTGAAAAATTTGGCCCCAAGCTTCTAAGACTATCCTTCAAGCAATTTCTTTTTCCTTTCTTGCACACTTTATGGTTTCGACAACTACACCCTTAATCAACCTCGCAACTAGCCAAGGTTCGGACAAAACCCTTACTATCACCTAAAAATGCTCAGACATCCTTTGATCCTCATATAGGACTGAAATTCATGATATAGTGCTATGAAATTGAGGATTCCATGAATTCAATAATGGCAACTATTTTACAGGTAAACCATCCCAAAAAGAACACAAATTCAGGTACCACAATTTTATTAATCTCCCTTTAAATAATCCACCATAAACTCCTAAAAAGAACCACATCCAAGTTGCACAATTATATTAATATCTCCTAAAGACAGCACTGCAATTATATAAGAAATTAAACAAGAGTAAAATTGAACAAATTAATTAAGCACTAAACTTTTGCAATAGAATGTAATGCACTTAGTCCTACATGCATTTTTTTTTTTTTTTTTTTGAAAAATACACGCATTGACTCTGCAGCAAATACAGAGAAAAAAACACCACCTTCACTAGGGAGTTTCTAAATTTTAATAGTAGTGGCAAACGTATCAACCAAGGATAAAAGTGAATATTGTTTTGTGCTGGCAAACGTAGCAATTTACACTTGTTTGGATTGTGAGTTTTCGCAGAAAAATGTTTACGTTTTTCATTAAGATATTTTTCGATCATTTTTTTACCTCACATACATCAAATTACTACAGTATATTTTTCATTAAAAATTTCTAAAAATAGCAATCCAAATAAGTATTTTTGACAATAATTAAGCACAACAATGTCATTGTACTAGTGGTTTGGGTAGAGCAACTTTTCTAAACATTTGATCAGCTTTCATGGGCGGTAAAGTGCATATCTTCAAGATTCATGGTAATAAAGTGTTATTTCTCCAAAAATTCAGGGCTAAACTGCTATTTGCACACTAACTTTTATTACTAGTACTGTTTTCGGTAAGAAACTTTTATTGCAAGTTGTATCGATCAAAGGCAAATTACTAAAAGGGAAAATCGTTTAAAACTTTTCTAACATTTTGTAAAATAATTTTTTTCGTCCCTCACTTTTAAAAGTGTAATTTTACGTCCATTACAAATTTACATTAGTCAAATTTGGTTCCCGTCTAGGTTTCAAACTAGTTTTTTTATCAAAATCTGTCACATGCCTTGTTCGTGATAATTTTTTAAAGGCGAAATTATCAAATTTAATTTTACATAATTCGATTTATTGTCTCTCATATTTCATAAAATGAATTTTTAGTCTCTTATATTTTACTAAATGATTTCTTTTCATCATTCACATTTTTCAAAATAGATTTTTCTTATTCCTCATTGATCATGTGTGCAAATAGTTTCTTTTTAAAACCCATGTATATATCTATTTGATTTCACTTGAATAGTACGAATAGCATGTAATGTCTCTATTTGATTTCACCTAAGACATATTACATGTTATTTTATACTGCTTAGGTGAAATCAAATATATATAAATTTTAAAAAATTGTTAGTTTTTCACTCATATTCATTTCATTTTACTTGAAAATTGAAAAGAAAGAAGACATTTAATTTTAAATATTATTGAGCGTTTATATCGAATTAAATTTGTACAGAAAAATTAAACAAAAGAAAAGTATGACAAAAAAAATGTAATTAATAGGTATTTTAAAATTTTAAGACAATCATAGCAAGTAATTTAATTGTTGGTCTAAAAATGGACGAGTGAAAACTTCAGATTTAAATTGTAATTTATTAGTACGACTATAGAATTCGAGTTGTGACCGATTACTTAGATGGCCTTATTATACAACACAATAAATAAATTATTACCAAAAAAAAAAGACCACAAATATTAAATAAGTTCACATGGTGAGATCACATAGATATATACATGGGTTTAAAACAAAATTATTAATTTTAAACCCCTATATATATGTATATATATATATATCTATTGAATAGAATGTGTACAGCTAAGATTAGGCAGTTTACGTGAAATTAAATAACGATATATTACATATTATTCTTACTGTTTAGGTGAAATCAAATAGATATATACATGGGTTTAAAAAAAACTTATTGCACATGACCAATGAGGGATGAAAAAATTCATTTTGAAAAATGTGAGGGATGAAAAAATTCATTTTGAAAAATGTGAGGGATGAAAAAATTCATATTATGAAATGTGAGAGACAAAACAATTCATTTTTATAAAATGTCAGGGATGAAAAAATTCATTTTGTGAAATGTGAAGGACAATAAATCGAATTATATAAAATTTGATTTGACAATTTTGCCCTAAAAAAATGATCACTTGCAAGGCACGTGGTGGATTCCAACAAAAAATTAGTCGAAAACTTAGGTAGGGATCAAATTTGATCAATGTAAATTTATAAGGGACGGAAAAATACACTTTTAAAAGTAAGGGACAAAAAAATTATTTTATAAATATGTGAGAAGCGTCGACCGATTTTCTCTTACTAAAACCAGAACAAGGCACTGTGCATATGCTTCTTTTGCTTCACTTTTTGATTATTGGGGTAATTTCACAAACCTATTTTGAGGTTTGCCTCATTTAATATCCTTATAATTTCAAAAATCTCTCTTACCTCCTTTGACTGACATCTTTTGTAACATTGTCACTTCTTAATAAAAAATCATAGACGAGGAGGGAAAATAATTTACTTTGATTTGTACCCTTTCGTTATTCTTTATATAGATAGTAGCGCAGCAATTGAGACTAAAATAAACCTAATAGACAAATAAAAAATTGGAAGAGATATAACTGCAATAAAGAGAAGTTGCAGTAGTAGATAAGTGATTTTACAATTTTGCGACAATTAATACTCCAAATCTAATATTAAAAGGCACTCTTATAATTCACCAACTCATTTAATATAAAGAATTAATATTATTGATTTAAGCGAGAAGGCAACAATCATCAGGATTTCAAAAGCGAATGAAAATCCAAATAAGCCTTCTAATATGCTAGGTAATTGTAGCACCAAAAGTTCCCTACATTTTATTGCTACAGTTTCAAAAAAAAAAAAGTCATATTGTTTTGTTAATTGCTATTGGATTTCTAAAAAGATAATATTTTGTCAATATGCTACCTATGAAAGAAATCTCGTCACAAATGATAGAATCCTTGTAGCTGAACTCCGACGGGAAGACCATCAAGAAGATGAAGAAAAGGCCTTTCTCAGTCGTCTGTGATGCTCATCTCCGCCACAAATCAGGGGCAGGAGGTACTGCTACTTGTGCTCTACTCTTTCATTTCTTTCTCCAAGAAACTCCACCCTTATTCAAAACACACAATCAGCTTCTAGTTCCGCTGCTTCTCATGCCTATAGTACTCGTAGTAAAACTAGAAATTGTCCCCCTGAGATTGTTCGTTCTGGGTCTCGGGGATTAAGGAGTGATATTGACAGTATCAGCAATCTTGATGAAGCTCTAGGCTTTTACAAGCAGATGGTCCGGATGAGACCTGTGCCTAGCGTTGTTCATTTCAATATACTGTTGGGTCGTATTGTTAAGATGAAGCAATATTTGGTGGTTCTTTCTCTTTACAGAGATGCGGCTGAGTTGGGATGCATACCGCTTGATGAATACACGCTTAATATTGTGATTAACTGTTATTGCTTCTTGGGTAAAGTGAATTTTGGGTTTTCTATATTTGGTGGCTTCTTCAAGCGAGGTATTGTGCCCGATACGGCCATCTTTAATACTCTGCTCAAAGGACTCTTTCGGGAACACAAAATTCTTGAGGCACAAGGATTGTTCAAGAAAATAATATATGAAAAGCTATGCGTACCCGATAAAATTACATTACGTATGGGACTGTGATAGATGGGCTTTCTAAGGCTGGGAACACTAGCATGGCCATTCAAGTCCTTAGATTCATGGAAAAAGGAGGAAGGTGCAGGCCTGATACAGCTGCTTACAGCACTATTATCGACGGGTTGTGCAAGGATAAAATGATGGATCAAGCTCTCTCCCTGTTACACGAGATGATTGAGAAAGGAATTGCCCCCAATGTCATCACTTACAATTGTTTGGTCCGGGGTCTGTGCAATTTAAGTAAATGGAAGGACGTTGAAAATCTCTTTACTGAGATGAAGGCTTATAATATTGTTCCTGATGTTATTACTTTTAATATTCTGATTGATGCACTATGTAAGGAAGGACAGTTAGAAGGTGCAGAGGAGGTACTGAAAATCATGATTGAGCAAAATCAGAAGCCTGATAATGCTACATATAGCGCATTGATGGATGGGTACTGTTTACAAGGCCGAATGGATGAAGCAAAGATAGTTTGTGATAAAATGGCAGCTAGCGGCCTTAATCCTGATGTTCAAAGCCATAGTATATTGATCAATGGTTATATGAAGAAAATGAAAGTGGAAGCAGCCACGAGTCTCTTCCAGGAGATCCGACATAAAGGGTTAACACCGAATGTTGTTACCTATACCACAGTCCTGCAGGGTTTATTTCGTGAGCGGAGGTATCTTACAGCAATCGAAGTTTTCAATGAGATGCTAGCTGCTGGCATAAAGCCTGATTTTTACACTTACTGTGTGTTATTGGACGGTTTATGCAAGAACTCACATGTTGAGGAAGCACTTAAATTTTTGCACAAGATGGAAGTTGATGAAGTAGATTGTCATATAACAATGTACAGCATCGTCCTTGATGGATTATGCAAATGTGGGAAGCTTGACAGCGCCCGGCATCTTTTCTGTAGTCTCTCTTCTAAAGGATTGGATCCTAATGTTAGAACATATAACACGATGATAAATGGCCTCTTTTCAGAAGGTTTCCTACAGGAAGCCAAAGAGTTTATTAAGAAAATGGAAGAAAATGGCTGCACTCCAAATCTAATTACATTTAATATTATTGTTCAAGGACTTCTTAAGGCTGGCAAATTAAATGATGCAGTGGTTTATTTTGATGAAATGGATAGGAGAGGATTCTGGCTGTATTTGTCTACTTTTTCACTTTTACTTGATTCATACAGAGATAGTGGAAATGATCCCTCTATTTTTAAGATAATTGAGAAGTTTGCTCAAAAAATGGGTAATGGAAGTCTAAATACTGGAGAAGGGGGATCTTATCCTTAATTGGCTTCATTTGGGACCTTTGGATATTCTGCTGCTTTTTTTGGCTCCTTGCATTTAATCATCCAAAGGTACATGATGTAGATTCGCAGCTGACATTGTTGTCAGTATCTGTCCTTTTGGTTTCAAAAAGTTTATCAACAGTCCTTGGTGGAGCAATCTTTGAGCATATTCTAGAGATTTGAAGATTTAATGCTTGCATGGTGGTAAGCGACAATGTGTTAGAAGCTCTCTCATGACTACAGATGCCTGCCCGTTTTCAATGCATTTCATGGTTTTGTACTCTGTGATCACGCCTCTCTCATCACTTTCTGAAAATTTTATGCCTAATTGTCTCGATGGCTCACATTGTCTGTATTGAGTCACTCTTTTGTATGCTTACTTTATACATGATAGCTTGTCCATGTAATTGTCATGTTGGGTTACTAAATTGCAGCTTAATTTATCTTCTTATACAGACATTGTTCGCATGGCAGTTGCAAAATTATCAAATTAAGTGAGAAAAAAAACAGGAGTTGTGGATGTAAGTCATTGTACTGTAGAATTCACATTCTCCAAATAAACTTGACTGCCATTTTTTCGAGTCTTCTTTGTTTGAGTGCGTGTTCTAATTCTTCCCATATACATCCCTGCCCTCCCCTTAGACATGAAATTAGCTCACAAGTCCCTGAATTTACGGATTGAAGATCAGAGAAAGTGTAACTAGCATTAACACCCAGAAGTTTGTACCTCCTGTGATAATCGGAAATTGCATTCTGTGAATTTTAGAGGTTACAAAGTATTTTTGGTTGATTTTGGTGCCCAAAGTTTGCATGCGACGAGCACAATTAAGGTCCAAAATAACATCAGTTTTGTATTAGGGCCATTAACTTCTGAGTTTTTGTCACACATTTATTAACCATTTACAAGTCATGAACTACTGATACACCCTTTGGAAGGCAAAGGACGCCCTCCAGCCAAAGACCGAAGGGCAGCCGTGGCATAGCAGCTCTCAATCCGCTTGTTCTGGTTGAAGAGCAGCTATGGTTAAACTATTAAACTTCAATTCCCTTGTATCTTCTTTACCTGAGGGTTTTTCCCCACGGGGATTTTTCTGAGCTACTAATACACATTGCAGGCACACTTCTGGGCTTTCTGCTCCCTTTCTCTAGAATGAGGTGACAAGCACGCTGGAATATTTAGATTTCGTCATGTGTAGTTATCTGTGAGTGGGGAAGATAGAAGTTTGACTTAGTTGTTACCTACAGCATCTTCTATTCTGTTATAGATGAAAAATGCTTCTCTTTGCCATTCTGAATTTTGTGAGAGAAGATAGATGATGCTTACTTAGTTGTTAGCATAATCAGAAGCCATTGGATGCAGAGGGGGCTGCTTTTGTCGCTCAAATTTCTGGCCTACATCATCTTCTATTCTTTCATTATGCCAAAAACGCTTCTCTAATATACTGGACCTGCTCAGTGGAGCAGCATCAAGATGTTGAGTTTATCGCCCATACCATATAGTAATTGCATTGTTTATCTTAAACATTATTGTCCAAGGACTTGTCAAGGCTAGTGAATTTGATGATGCAGTGGTTTATTTTGAAGAAATGGATTTAGGGAGGATTCTCACTGCAAGTATCTACTTTTGCCTTTTTACTAGATTCATTCAGAGATAGTGGAAATGATCCATCCCTTTTTAAGATAGTGGAGAAGTTTGCTCCAAAAATGCGCAATAACAGTCTAAATGTTGGAGAAAGGGGATCTTATACTTAATCGGCTCCATTTAGGATCTCTGGATATTTCACTCTTTTTTTTTGCTCCTTTTTTATTTGATTTTGCTCTTTAGATGCTCTTCTCCGTCCTTTTTAAAGACATCTTAGGTATCCAGCCATACAAAGTTGTTGAGTTTTTACTTGATAGAGATTCAGATACTCAATGTAGTATATTTGACTGGAAATATTTAAACATGGTGAACATTCTAACTTCAATAAGAGGGCAGTGTAAATGTCTCTTAATCACAGGCCTAAGCAGAAATTTGTACTATTATCAGTTCGACTTGTTTTAACAGTCTCTGCTTTTTCCTATTTTGCTGTTGGTTCTTTAAAATAACTGTTTCAATGCTTATGTTCTGCCTTAGTTCTTTAAGTTTGTCTCTTAATCACATGCACTGCAGAAGCAAGTTTCGGTATGCTAAGATTGAACTCAAACGATAAATATTTGATTCTATCACTAATCATGACAGTATTGCTACGTGTGAATACAGATGGAAGAGTGCAATTTTTGTAACCTTAGTGAGTGGTGAATTAATTAATTAAAGTTGGCGTTGCAGTATGCTATCATCACAGATCTGGATTGGCCATGAAATTTGACCCCAAAAAAATTGCAGAAGTGTGGTCTGCGCTTCTAAACTTTCAGTGCATTCTTCTGTGCCTGTGTCCTTCTGCTACCACTCATTTCTTGGTGTCTGTTTCTTTTAGGTTTGTTCATGTGTTCTGAGTGAAAGTTTGACAGCCTGATGCCTGTTGAGTTCTGTTTACGTTTGGTAGGAAAGGGAATGAAGAGCCTTAGATTCGGTAAGAAATGGAATGACTTTGTTGCCTATGGAAAAAGAAGATGGAACCTGATGAATGCTATTTCATTACAGGGATACATTAATTCCAGAATGGGACAAACAGAAATATCAGAACAGGCACGTCAAAGAATGAAAGCACATAGGATTAGAGTAAAGCAAAATCTAGTTGAACACGCTTGATATTTTTGAAACACCACTGAATCTGTGATGTAGTAGCTTTTTTCTTTCCCTTCTCTTTGTAATGCTTGTACTCGTTCTAGCACTATACAATAGTAGTAGGTATACTTTGATGACATTAATTATCTGCTATCTTTCTTTGAACATGTTGAATTTTCTTTTTTCCACTTTCTGTCATTGAAAAGAATAGTGTCTGTACGCGATAAAAATTTCAAGTCTGCAAAACGACAAGAAAAAGAAATACACGACAAATATGTACTATATAAACTTAGAAAAATATATAGGTACAATCTCTGGAAGTTTCTCTAACTTATCGAGAGCTTCCTTCGATTCTTCTCCTCGAACATCAATCCAAGGGCTTCGCAGCTTGTTCTTGGATCAACCACCGACTCTTTCAAATCTTGATATGGAAGATTTGAAGGATTTGAAAATACTTGAAGGCTCAAGCCTTGATATGTGGAAGACTTGAGGAGCTTTGAGACCCAGGCCTTCGTAGCTTGAAGCTTCAATACTTGAGTGTATGAGATACTTCTTGATATCTCTGTGTCTCTGTCTGTGTCCCTTGATTTGGTTGAGAGACTCCTATTTATAACTATAGCAAGAGGTAGAGGTTGAGAACCTGTGTACTACCTTACTTGTCTTGCAAGACGTGCAGTCATATTAGAACTGTGCCAGTCAAATATTATCTCTTCATTTTATATTTATTAATAAAGAGATAAGAAATTTATCGATTGGCCAAACTCGTGAGGACACGTGACATGGCGCCGTTTGACTGGCCAAGCTATTGCAGTATATAAGAGGTATATTTGGATTAAATAACTCTAAATATTATCCCTTTAATAAGAAATAAATATTTAGACATTTATCCAATGGACATGTGACATGATATGATCTGGTTGGTGGAGATATCCCTGCAATTTGAATTGATTTGGAACACTTCGCCTTGACACGTGGCAAAATATAATTGGTCATTTAATAATCAATTTTTCCAAGTGTACGTGCCATATGGCAATATCCGATTGGATAAAAATATTTTATAGACCAATGGTAACTTTTGAAATTTAATTAAAATTCCATTGTCTACAAATGCCCCCTCGAAACTTGTTCGTGAATGTTGAAGACCGAAGCAAATTTTGAACGGACAAGTTTTGACATTTTTTTTTGTTTCAACTCGAACACCGTTGATATTTTAGCTTTTCAAATAAAACTCATAAATGGGCTAAATTCCAAGCTTTGCAAACTTTATATCAATGACTTGTTTCATATAGGATAGCTACGTGGAATACCACCAATTCATGCCTTATTGATCTCAATTTCCAAGACCACTAGTGCCAATTAATTTCCAATGTGAAATACTGCCCATTAATCCCGAAGCCGGATTACTCCAATTTGAAGCCTTATAATAAAGTGCGTGAATGGACTTTGCTCTTTGCAATGTCATGGCTTTGAACCGGGCACAGGGTGGCCATGTGGGGTCCAACAATCCATGCAACATTTTTAGTGATATCAATCCCAGAGTCAAAACATGCCAAAGCTTCAAGTCCACCGTGCATCATCAGACAAGCTTCGGTTGCTTCAATTTCCAACATGACTCTCTCGTGGCCCACAAGACTTGTCCTATATCAACCATGATTGATCAATCCCAAAGCCAATTTAGAATTCTAGACGGTAGCAAACTACTTGGCCGACAGCTTCTAACAAATCCGTTTTGGCTCAGCAAGGCCATTCCAACAAGGAATCGACTTCCTTCCCAAATTCTTACGGAGGAAGACTTCTTTTGGCTCGGATTCGCATCAAATTTCCCCTATAAATAACCATCCCTAGCTCACAAACTCTTGAACGAATTTTATTTCTCTCGTCAGTCGCATCATAAATTGCCGCTGCCGCCAGAGCCAGTCATCATCCGTTGGAAAATCCTTCGCTCGCCAGGTACCTGCAGCTTCATCATTTTTTTTTTTTTTACTTGCAATATTCAATTATTACAAGAAGCTTTAGTCAATTGAGATGCTTAGAGCCCCATGACTTTACCAAATAAATTCTCAAAATATTATTTGAGAATGAAACTCGGGTCTCGATTGAAAAATTGTCCAAATGGAGATTGGTGCCTATTGTTGGAATAAAGCCCACGGGTAGATTTACTTAAAGCTTTGCATGTCATGGCTTTTGAACCAACGTAAGATTGTCATGCAATGAAAGGCATTTTTAGTTCCATGGCCACAGTATTAAATGCACGCATCATCTGGTGGGGCCAACACTTTAAATTTCCAAGACCAAAACGCTTCCCTACAATGTCTATGCCATGGCTATATCTTAAATCCAATGAAGTAGCTATCCTGCCGTATGCAATGACTCCAATTTGCGATATGATTCTCCCATGGCCCACGAGTCCTTCCTTTATGCCAACCGTGATTGCTCAATCCCAAAGCCAATTGGAATTCTTTCCCATGGCAAATTACTTAGCCGGCGTAGTCCACGAGACCTTTTGACAAATTGGTCTTGAATCAACAAAGTAGACTCCGAAAAGAACTTGACTTTCTTACAGATTCGTATGGAAGAAAACTTCCTTCTCGGCTCAGATTCACACCAATCCTCCCCTATAAATAGCCACGTCTAGGCCACAACTTTTGAACAAGTTTTTTTTTTTTCAGCTATATCATCACGATGCCGCAGTTGCAAGGAACAACCATCATCTACTGGCTATACTCCAGTAAACACTTTCCTTCGTTTGTCAGGTACTTCAGGCCTTTTTTTGTTTGCCTCACCCGCAACATTTAGTTGTTACAAGAGGTCTCGGTCAAGGTACTCACGTGCTTCATCGTCAGATGCTTTGAACATGATCTGCACTTGGAATTTTATTTCTCTACTCAACGTGTGCCTCTAACTTGTATCTCCGACATATTACAAGGCAACTTGGCCCTTTGATTTATCTACTAAAATAATGCCAAGCATGATATTCATGGCTGAAAATTCAATTTTTGTACCTTTTTTTTTTTTTGCTTTGCTTTTTTTTTTTTCATTTATTAGGGTAATACCAAATATGATATTCGAACCCCCCCTTTTTCCTTAATACTAAATATGATATTTGAGCAAAAGTTTTTTTTTTTTTTTTGCTTTTTCCTTTTCAGCCTCCGTTTCTTGAATTTCGTCAAGAAGGTGTTGGTAACAATTCATCACCCGAACTCGAAACTGATGATATAATCTCAAACAACAAGAGTGACGAAATAGCTATCAGTACTCCAAGACAATTTGTTCCCAGTGGAGGTACTTCGTCAATGCATAAGAAGGAGCTGACTAGTTCACACGAAATTCGAAAAAGGCCTAAGGTGGCATTGGTTTCAGAATTCCACGGTCAAAAGCTGATCCAAGCACATCGAAGAAAGTACTTGCAAAGTTTGTGGATGGATTTCCGCGGACAGATTCTTGACACTCCAATTGAGCAGATCTCTTCTTTAAAAGAGTGTGCAGAGGAAATCATTGCAGAAATCACAAGAACGGATCCCACCAACGGTCTCCCTTTAAAAGACCACTTGATGGAATTGTTTGCCAAGGCGGAGGCTTATGATGTTCTAGCATCTTCATCGTGGGAAAGGATGAACAAAGAAACACATGCAGAACTCCTTTTCAAAGCGACCGTCCAACTCGAGAAAGTTAAGGCAAAGGGAGAAGAACTGACTCGTCATTTGCAAAGTCTTGAAGAGGAGTTGCAATCCATTGAAACCAGGAAGAAGATTCTGCAACAGGAACTCATCAGTTTGGAGAAGCAAAACTTGGAAATCACCTTAACTATCGATCAAAAGCATGAGACCTTCAAAGAGATCCAGGTCGAAATAACCCAAGCGCATGATGAGCTGTCTTCCATTGAACAGACCAGCATCTTGACTGATGACGCTGTGAAGGAACTTGAGGACATGAAGTCTGCACTTGAATCATATAAAGTAGCTGTAGTGGAATACAAATTTGATGTTTAGACTTTCCACCATGTTCTTCTTTTTCCTGAATTCTTTTGCCATTCATCATTTTTTTTCCATGTAATGAGTTTCCTTTTTTTTTTTCAATAATAAAACGCTTTTCATTTCTTATCTCTTGTTTTTTTTTTCTTTTACAAGGGACAAGGATTTGATTTGGAGTGGTATAACTGAACTTAGAAGTTGCCCTCCAAGCTGCCTACGTATCCCAACAAGGGAATCAAGTCACACGTAGTTCCTGCCGTTCACATTTTAACCTCATGCGGGTCAGGAGTATCTATTTGTTTACCACCTTAGACTTGGTGAAGTGTTTCAGCAATTTAACCACATACTACACTATTGGTGGTTGCTATCCACAGTTTTAGCTCATGCGGGCCAGGAGTCTTGCGGGGTCCCGATTACGCATAGTACCTTTTTAGGTACTTGCCATTGATGGGGCCAACCCTTAACCCGTCTTCAGCAACCAACTTATATGAGTCATTTGTATACACTTCTCGAACAACATAGGGCCCATCCCACTTAGAAGTAAACTTTCTTTGACCGCTATGAGTGAGAATGATCGGCCTCCGAACGGCGAGTACTAAATCTCCAATCTTGAAAGAGCGTGGCCGGACATGTTTATTAAATGCTTTTGAAAGGCGGGCTTGATAACACTCAATCCGTTGCTGGGTTTCCAATCTCTTTCCGTCGAGTGCTTCTAACTCCTCAAGGCGAAGACGAACATTATTTTCTCTACTGAGCCCTTCTTGAATCGCAATTCTTAGCAAAGGTATTTGACACTCAAGTGGAAGAACAGCTTCAACACCATAAACAAGTGCGTATGGGGTCGCTTGCGTGGGAGTTCGAAAAGTAGTCCGGTATGCCCAAAGTACTTCTCCAATTCGAAGATGCCAATCCCTTCTCGATTTATTCACGACTTTCTTCAACATATTACATAATGTCTTGTTGAATGCTTCAGCGAGTCCATTTGCAGCAGCGTAGTACATGGACGAATTGTATTGTTTGAAATGAAACTTCTTGCAAAATTTATTCATTGCTACATTGCAAAAAGGCTTACCATTATCGGTAATGATATAACGCGGGACTCCATACCGATAAATGATATGCAAGCGAATGAAATCCACTACATTCTCCTTTTTGACCTCTCTTAGAGGAATCGCTTCAACCCACTTTGAAAAGTAATCCGTCGCCGCCAAAATAAAAATATGTCCGCCAGAAGACTTTGGAAGTGGTCCAACTATATCCAAATCCCAAGCATCGAACGGCCAAGAAGCCACAGTTGGGTGCAATGGTTCAGGGGGCTGATGGATGAAATTGCCATGAAATTGACATGCTTGACATCTTCTAGCAAAGTCAATGCAATCCTTTACCATTGTTGGCCAGTAGTATCCCATTCTTTTAATACGAAAGTGTAATTTCGGACCAGACTGGTGAGCACCGCATATCCCAGAGTGAGTCTCCTCCATTGCTTACATGGCCTCATCTTCTCCAAGACATCGTAGAAACATCCCATCGAATGACTTTCGGTAAAGCGTCCCTTTGTAGTAAATGAAACGTGGTGCTCGACGACGTATATCAACCATTTTCTTAGGATCTTCTGGTAACTTTCCATGATTAAGATAATTAATGATGAGGTGACGCCAATCCTCCTTTTCGATCTCATGGACAAAAATATGATAAGTATTTTCTTCTTCACTATCATTACCTTCATCAAACATCGGAGGTATGACCCAATTTTGACATATTGAAATCTGATTTCGATGAGAAGGTAGAGTGATCATGGACGCCACCCTTGCCAAAGAATCAGCTTGTTGGTTGAAATTTCTAGGGATATGTTCTATAGTGACATTACCTAAATATCCCATTAGTTGCCTTGCATACTTGTAATATGGGATCAATTCAGGTTTCTTGACATCATAAACACCAAGGAGTTGATTTACCACCAATTTTGAATCACCGTAGACTCTAAGATGCAACTGCTTCATGTCTACAGCCGTTTCAAGACCGAGAATCAACGCCTGATATTCAGCCACATTGTTGGAACACCGGCGTGTTAAAGTGAAAGAGTATGGCAATATATCTGCTTCAGGAGTATAAAAGACAACTCCCGCACCAGCTCCATCACGGTGGGCAGCTCCATCGAAATACATTGACCACGGCAATTCGACCATAAACACTTCTTCATCGGGAAGTTCATCAGTCAACTCCCACTCGGCAGGTAGGGGATGATCGGCTAAAAAGTCTGCCAATATTTGTCCTTTGACAACCTTCGCAGGTACGTAAATAATTTCAAATTGTTGAAACTGGAGGTACCATCTCGCGAGCCGATCAGATAGTACAGGTTTTGCCATGACATATTTAATGGGATTGGACTTAGATATGAGACGAATAGTATGTGCATGAAAATAATGCTTCAACTTCTGAATGACAAATATAAGTGTCAAACACAACTTCTCGATGGATGCGTAGTTCAACTCATTAGATGTCATCATCCGACTCAAGTAATACAGTGCATTCTCCTTACCTTCATTGTTTTCTTGAGCAAGTAAGGCCCCAACCGACCGTTCTTGAGCGGAAATATAAAGAATCAATGATTTTCCTGGAATGGGCGCAGCCAGCACTGGGGGATTCATGAGATACGCCTTGATGCTTGTAAAAGCATTCCTACACGATTCATCCCACTCGAAAGGTACCTCTTTCTTCATCAGTCTACTAAAAGGTTGGTATCGCCCGGCCAAATTAGAGATAAACCTCCGGATATATGCCAACTTCCCTTGAAGGCTCTTCAATTCATGAATATTTCGCGGTTCAGGCATGTTCACAATTGCATCAATTTTAGATCGATCGACTTCTATTCCCCGTTGATGAACGATGAAACCAAGAAATTTGCCAGAAGTGACTCCGAATGCGCACTTCAAATGATTCATCTTTAATTGGTATCTCCGAAGGCGTTGGAAAACTCTTCGAAGGTCTTGAATATGATCCTCTCGCTTCTTTGATTTCACCACAAGGTCATCAACGTAGCACTCCACATTTCTATGGAGCATATCATCAAATATTCTTTGCATTGTCCTTTGATATGTCGCTCCAGCATTTTTCAAGCCAAACGGCATTACTTTATAGCAATAAATTTTCTTGGGAGTGCGGAAGGCAGTTAGCTCCTCATTCTCGGGCGCCATACGTATTTGATTGTAGCCAGACGATCCATCGAGAAAAGATAGTGCTTCATGCCCGGTTGTAGCATCTACCGTCAATTCTGTGATGGGGAGAGGAAAATTGTCTTTGGGGCAAGTCTCGTTTAAGTCTCGAAAGTCAACACAAACTCGAATTTGCCCATTCTTCTTCCTTACAGGGACGATGCTTGAAATCCATGTTGGATATTTTACTTCTCGTATGAATCCGTCTTCAATCAATCGATTTATCTCATTTTCTATCAGAGGAATCAATTCGGGCCGAAAACGCCTTTGCGTTTGCTTGACAGGTTTTGTTCCTCGCTTGACGGACAAATTATGAACGGCGACCCTTGGATCCAAACCAGGCATTTCTGAGTAATTCCAGGCAAAGACGTCCTGAACTCGAGCAGCAAATCAACATACTCTTTTTCTTCTTCAGGAGTCATACAAGAGTTTATGTAAATTGGGCGAGGATCGTCGCTTGTGCCAAGGTTAATCTCTTTTAGCTCATCAACCGTATTTTTTACCCCTTGTTCAAGTTCAGCGGGAGCGTCATCTGCATTTTCTTCTTCTTCTTCAAGATCACTGATCGTAATATGGTGACAGGAAGCCGTACTTTCTTGACCCTGTTCTTCAAAAATGGTTTCAATTCTTACATTGAATAAGTCTCCATAGTGCATGAAGAAATTGGAGACTCGCTTTCTTGGTCTGTTCTTCTTTATTGGAGTGAAACTTTCTTCCCTGACAATTTGGTACTCTTGTTTCTTACTGCCTAATCTCTCATAGACGGGCGACTTCAGATTTTTCGGCTGCGGGCCAAGTCTGTCAAACACAGAAGTACGTTTTGACTTATTTCCCAATCGGTCGAACACAGATCTCTTTCGGCTTGTGACCTCCATTTCTTCGTTCACATAGTTACAACTCGCTCTTTTGATCATTATACGAACAGGAGAGGGCGGTTGATAGCCAAGACCCATCGATGAACTTTCAACATTATAGCCCCTTTCTTTCAATATTTTCTGCGTAGGTGTCAATCCGTGAGTCCTCTCGCCAGTCACTTCAGGAGGGAGTTTGCCCAATGTATTCTTCTCATTTGGGTTATAACCCGCCTTAGCAAGAAGTCTATAGGCGTCTGGATCAAAACCTTCTTGAGTCCGATTAGTTGGTAGCGAGCAATGTTCCACTGTCGGTTCTTCTTTGGGACGAACAAACCCTTGCAAGCTCACCTTCTCAATTTTAACAGGCTCTATCTTGGTGAGCGGAACATTTAATGTGTCATTTCTGATAAAAGAAGACTGACCTTCTTCTCTCTTTGATCTTGGAGTATACCGCAAAATTGGTACTTTGAAATCTTGACTTTCTTCCCTTACTGATTCCTTTCTTTTTGCTTCTTTGTGAAGATAAAATTTGGCATCGGCAAAGTGAGTTTCGGCTTCCGTGAAAGGTTTGTCATCAGCAGTAACTTTCTTAACAATACCATCTCGACAATATTTGAAACATTAATGCAGAGTAGATTGTATAATTTCATTCTCGTGAATCCAGGGCCTTCCCAAAAGCATGTTATAAGAGGTTTTGGCTTCAATGATATGAAATAACGCACTTGAAGACAACTCGCCAATGAGCAATTCAAGCCTTATGAGACCAATTGCTCTTTGCCCCCCTTGATTAAATCCTTGGATCATGAGGCGGCTCTGGGAGAGTTCATCACTTGAGATTCCTAACTCTTTCATAGAACGTACGGACATGATATTGACAGCAGATCCCCCATCAATGAGTACCCGACTCATCTTTTGTTCTCGAATATATGCACTAACAAACAAAGGTCGATTGTGGGTCTTGAACTCAACAGTTAAATCATCATCATCAAAAATGATGATCGTTGCACAATCCACCGGTGGTTTATCATCGACTTTGAGTTTTTTCTCAAATTCAGTGCCAATTTGTATGACTTGAGGATTTTCAGCTTTGACGACATTACAAGAAGTGAAATCATCGGTATCGTCACTTAAATACCCATTGGGTATAAATTCTCTCAGTGTCACGGGCTGCCGAACCTCTTGAAGGCGCTGAAAATCTGAAGGAATTGGTTTTATGGCCACTCTCTTTTGTTTCTTTGTTGCATTTTGTCTTTTCATCGTTACTTTTGGCTTTGTCGAATGAATGCTTTTCGAAAAGATGTACTTCTTTATTCTTGGCTTGCAAGTCTTCTTCCGAGTGACTAAAGTCCATCCTTCATTGTCATCTTCAATAACATCTTCAATTTAGGATTTTTCAAGCTCCTTGGACAAAGCGCTGCTTGTTGTGGATAAAACTTCTATCGGATAACACACAGACCCAAACATTATTGTTGTTTGGTTTGCCGATGCTTTATCCTCCACAAGAAGGATTTTTCCTTGGCGGGCTAATTCCATAATTTTGTCCTTAAAGACAAAGCATTTAGTGAGAGGGTGACCAATCAAGCGGTGATAACAGCAATAATTCGGATCATTGACTTGACCGGCTTCCTCCGGACGCTTCATGTCGGGAAGTTCAAGGAGCTTCTCCTTGAAAAGATCATCAAACATTCCTTGTAAGTCAGACTCAAGGAAATGGTACTCCCTTTCTTGCATCTCTTTTAAAGTGGGTCTTCTTACTGATCTATTCTGGAAGGAATCTAATTTCTCAGTGATCTTTCGACTCACTTTGGTAGCAATTTTCATAGGAGCTGTGTTTATTGCCATGGACTCCTTATTATTGAATCTTGAAGGAGGCTTGCCCCCTTTTCTATTTTCTTGTCTTTCATTGTTTTGCTGAGGCGGCTGCGCTCGCGGAGCTTGAATAGGAAGTCCATCAGTTGCATTGGTCGTGATGCTTAACTCCATATCATGAGTACGAGTAGCTAATTCTTCAAATGTATTTGGGCGTATACCTTGTAGAATATAGCTCAGGCTCCAATGCATTCCTCGGATGCACATTTCTATGGCAGAGGGTTCAGACAGTCTATCCTTGCAGTTGAAACTCAGACTTCTCCACCTATCAATGTAGTTGACCACAGGTTCGTCCTTCCATTGACGAGTGTTAGTCAACTCCAACATACTAACGGTTCTTCTAGTGCTATAGAAGCGGTTCAAGAACTCTTGTTCTAGCTGTTTCCAACTGTCGATGGACCCCGGAGTGAGATCAGTGTACCAATCAAATGCGTTGCCCTTCAAGGATCGAACGAACTGTTTGACTAGCAGGTCGCCATAGGTTCCAGCGTTATTGCAAGTTTTGACAAAATGGGCCACATGTTGCTTTGGACTACCTTTCCCATCGAACTGTTGAAACTTAGGAGGTTGATATCCAGCGGGCATTGCGAGGCTATCGATTCTAGCAGTGTAAGGCTTGCAGTAAGTAAAGCTTGATTTTGAACCACCCTCCTTTTTATCTTTGATCACGCCTTCAACAAGTTCCTTCAGTTGCTCCACGGGGATAGTTCCATCGGCGGTCACATATACTTCCTTCACCTTGTCCTTACCTTTAGATGAGGGAATTTCACGCTCTTGGTGCTCCTTAGGATTCGCACGGCTTCCTTCAGCAGCGTGATCTTTCTGAGTGAGCAGTTGAGCAATGAGAGCATCTTGGTCCTTAATGTGTTTCATCATGGTTTCCATCATCTTGGACATGTTCGAAACTTGTTCTTCGAGATTTAAAGTATTTGTCATCATGGCCGACATTGCAGCGGGAGAAGCAGCAGAATCTTCAATAGAAAATCTTGAATGAAGAGTTTCATTTGAAGAGGCTGATCCAGTGCTTGAGGACTCGTCGTCATCCTTAGAGAACTTGGGTTCGGATCCAAGTTCGAGCATGGCAAGAGCCTTCTCAATCGAGGTGAAAACGTCTTGGACCCCCATCGTGGAGGAATAGCTCATTTGTGATGTTGACCCGAAGACGGGAGTTGGCGCCGAGGGTTCCGTGCTACTTTGGGTGGAGGCTCTCGTCAGACTCCTTGTCACGGGGCCAATAACGCGGGTATTGGTGGCAACCAGTGCAGCTTCCTGAACAGGCTTAGCATCAGTAGCCTTGGAACGTGCAATCACGATTTTGTTGCTCTTTGGTGCCATTGGTGATAGACGTAGTTGAATATTCGAGGGGAAGAGATGGAAGGCAGAGATGGTTCTACTGGGCGTGCCAAAAATTTGTACGCGATAAAAATTTCAAGTCTGCAAAACGACAAGAAAAAGAAATACACGACAAATATGTACTATATAAACTTAGAAAAATATGTAGGTACAATCTCTGGAAGTTTCTCGAACTTATGGAGAGCTTCCTTCGATTCTTCTCCTCGAACACCAATCCAAGGGCTTCGCAGCTTGTTCTTGGATCAACCATCGACTCCTTCAAATCTTGATATGGAAGATTTGAAGGATTTGAAAATACTTGAAAGCTCAAGCCTTGATATGCGGAAGACTTGAGGAGCTTTGAGACCCAGGCCTTCGTAGCTTGAAGTTTCAATACTTGAGTGTATGAGATGCTTCTTGATATCTCTGTGTCTCTGTCTGTGTCCCTTGATTTGGTTGAGAGACCCCTATTTATAGCTATAGCAAGAGGTAGAGGTTGAGAACCTGTGTACTACCTTACTTGTCTTGCAAGACGTGCAGTCATATTAGGACTGTGCCAGTCAAATATTATCTCTTCATTTTATATTTATTAATAAAGAGATAAGAAATTTATCGATTGGCCAAACTCGTGGGGACACGTGACATGGCGTCGTTTGACTGGCCAAGCTATTGCAGTATATAAGAGATATATTTGGATTAAATAACTCTAAATATTATCCCTTTAATAAGAAATAAATATTTAGACATTTATCCAATGGACATGTGACATGATATGATCTGGTTGGTGGAGATATCCCTGCAATTTGAATTGATTTGGAACACTTCGCCTTGACACGTGACAAAATATAATTGGTCATTTAATAACCAATTTTTCCAAGTGTACGTGCCATATGGCAATATCCGATTGGATAAAAATATTTTATAGATCAATGGTAACTTTTGGAATTTAATTAAAATTCCATTGTCTACAGTGTCATCTGACACCATCACTGCATGTGCATCACCATGCAATCTAAGTCTTGGAGAGTAAAGGTTATCTCCCAATACAATTACAGTTACAGGCGAGGAGTTTAATAGTTTTAACGACTTGGGCGTTAGAAATTACTTTTACAGTTAATCACATCGTGAAATCCTTGTTTTGTCTTAATACCTTGTTAGAATTATAAGTATCAATACTAATAGCTTTGGTCCCAAAGATTAAAAAGCGAACGAGTCTCTAAATGGATTAATCAATTTGGTATGCAAAACCCTTTTATTTCGGTTGGGCAATTTTTTTCAAAGTTATTATTTTTCCTTTTTGTTTAAGTGCACTTTTATTGAATTGTCTATTTCAAAACAAGATAACAAAAGAAATATCACCAAAAATTGATGATTATATTTATTTGTTGTATTCAAAAGATGTGGATATGCTTTTGCACGCTTAAAATACTTGCAGTGTACCAAGATACGATATGCCTTTTATTGAGTAATGTACATGATAAGAATAAGAACAAGGTAGAAGACATTAGCACTTAAAAAAATAAAGAAGTTTTAGAACCCCCCCCTTCCCTCTCTTTCTTTTTATATTATTTGAATTGAAAATTTTGCCCTCAAGCTTATAAGACTATCCTTCAAGCAATTTCTTTTTCCTTTCTTGCACACTTTATGGTTTAGACAACTACACCCTTATCAACCTCGCAGCTAGCCAGGGTTGTCCCAACCCTTACTATCACCTAAAAAAGCTCAAACATCCTCTGTTACTCATATAAGACTGAAATTCATGATATAGCGCTATGAAATTGAGGATTCCATGAATTCAACAAAGGCAACTATTTTACAGGTAAACCGGTACAAAAATTTTATTAATCTTTCTTTAAATAATCCACCATGAACTCCTAAAAAGAACCACATCCAAGTTGCACAATTAAATTCATCTCTCCTAAAGACAGCACTGCAATTATATAAGAAATTAAACAAAAGTAAAATTGAACAAACTAATTGAGCACTAAACTTTTGCAATAGAATGTAATGCACTTAGTCCTACATACATTTTTTTTTTTTTGAAAAAGTACACACATTGACTCTGCAGCAAAGCAAATACAGAGAAAAAAACACCACCTTTACTGGGGAGTTTCTAAATTTTAATAGTAGTGGCAAACGTATCAACCAAGGATAAAAGCGAATATTGTTTTGTGGGGGTTTTTTTTCAGTTTCCGAGGGGGGAGGGGGGTTGTTTTGGCTGCTCGAATCAGGAAATTGGGTATACATTTGCACTAATGGAAGTGATTGAAGTGGTTGATGGATATGAAAGGAGTAGAACCGGTGAGAAGTTGGGGATAGAAAGAAAAACATATTGTTTTGTAACTGATAGTAAGTGACGGGCATATTTGTCAATTTTAGTAATATAAAAGAAAATTAGAGTGCTGAGGTTTTACTTGGAATGTTATTTTCATTTGACTAATAAAAATTGCCTAAAAAAATTAGCAAATTCAGTCCAAACTGAAATTATTATTATTTTTCGTCATTCATCAAGATGATTGGTTACATTTTAAAAAATAGCCTTCTTTTCTATGTTTAAGTATAACTTTTATTAAAGTACATTAGAACTAGAGTGACTGACTCCTTTTATAATGCTAAATAGCAATTTACACTTGTTTGGATTGTGAGTTTTCGCAGAAAAATGTTAACATTTTTCGTGAAGATATTTTTCAATCACTTTTTTATCTTACATACATCAAATTACTACAATATATTTTTGATAGGTCATAATTTGTTACTAAATTTATAATTATTCTTCCCCTTATTTTAGCCAAATATTATTTTAATTGTCGGATTCTACTTATATTTGGTTAATGGTGCTAATTATAGGAAAATGAATAAAACATGATTAAAAGTGGCAATTTTCCTTTTAATTTGATGGTAGTATGTTCGAGATCTACATTCAAGGCCAAAAAGTTGGGATTAATATTGGGCAATCTTTAAATCCAAATCAATTTCCTAATTTGATAGCTATCAGGACCTTCCTGATTTCACGGGATCATTCTCAAGTGACTGGGAGAGTTTTTAGGAAATTAAAT